GACAATTAGAGCGAGAGAGCGTGAACACATGTACAGAAAAATTAAAAACCTTTATATTTTAGTATCTTTAGGTGGAATTTCCCCAGTTTTTGAATGAGGGGCCTCACATTTTCATTTTGCACTAAGTCCCATAAATTATGTAGCTGACTCTCCTGTATTTTTAAAGATTTTTCATAATAAAATATTGGTAAAAATATCTTCCCTGTTCTTTAAATCTGAACTCTGCTGACTCCCAACCAATGCTCTTTCTACTACTGCTTCTGATTCTTTGTTGGGTCTCTTACTTGAATTGCCTTCCTATTGACATTGCTTACTTGATCATTTTCACACTCTGTCTGTTAAGAGTGGAGGGGCAGCCATTTCTGTAGTACAAGTCATTATCTTCTCTTTCCAAAATATAAATGAGACTAGAGCTGGTTCCAATCAAGCATTTCTTGAATAATCAGATCCCTAAATCCCAATATTACCTCTTCAGGGTTACTGATAGAATGCAAAACCAATATTTTCCATCCATCAATACATCAACACCCAACCATGCCAAGGCCCCAAACTTCTGAGCAGATGAGTGTTCAACAATGTAAGAGGCCCGCATCATGCTCAGATTCATGAATTCAAATATGAACTTTTTAAGGGTCATTTAAGGAAATCAATATCAAGCTCAGCTGGAAAAATTCTTTCTGATTCATTGAGAAATGACAAGTAGAGCTTGTGGAAGTGGAAAATGGGATTAGACAGTGGGCTCTGGACGAAGTGGGGCTAGCTTGATTTATAATGCCATCAATGTGTGCTGGTCAGTGTTAAGAAGATGGACAGTTCAGGTTCTCCAAAAGCCCAGGCTAGTCTTCTACTAGTATAGAGTTGTGTATGGCTCACTGCCCAGAGATGTTGGATTTCACAAAGCCATCCTCCCTATCCCACTCCCCACTCCACCTTCCCAATGGATGTGGGAAACAAAAGACTCCAGTATAGATGGAAAGTTTTAAAGGCCTCTTGTGGGGCTGAGCCTTTGATCCACATGAGACACTCTGTCCATTACCCAATTCCTTTACAGGCCTCTGAGCTGGACACACAACGCAGAGCCTAGTGAAACAGCAGACCTCCCTCCCCCTGAGGGTGTGAGATAGGAGTCAAAGAGCTTTAAGAAGGCAGAAAAGTGAGGAAAGAGGGAAACCTTTTCCAGGTATAGGAGGAGAGTGGTCCCAAGAGGCTGATTGATAGCCCAAGGTAAGATTAGTGCCACTTTCTATCATATTCAAACTTTCTTGTTTTAAATGCAAATATAACAGCATGTAACTCATGTGCAGACTTGGTCACATTAAAAGTGGAGAAAATGATTGATTTTGAAGCAACTCTGAAGCAAAATACAAATAATGCCAATCACATTCACTCACTTATTTATTCATTTATATATCCAGACAACAGTATTTATGTATGTACTATGTGCAAAGTATCATGGAGAATAGAAATATACAAGGCAGGGGTTCATTTTCCAAAAGCCTACACCCACAAGAGGACATGGCCTATACTCATTCCCAAACACCACCCAGTTGTGCATGGAAAAGGTTTTTAATTGCTATAAATGAGAGAAGCAGTGTTCCGATTTAAAGGACCTTTAGAAAAGACCATCTAGTGAAATCTCTTCAGTGCATGAGAAAAGACAGAAACCCAAAGAGGAAAAGAGTATTCTCACAGTTATATAGCCAGGTAATAATAGAAGTGATCTTTACACTAGAAATTCAAAGGACTCAAAAATTACTCTATTTGGTATGGCAAGACAAAGTTTCACAGAAGTTTTGAGTTCCCCAGGCTCTGGTTCTGACTTTGTTATACTCTCACTCACTTAGTGATATTTGACTAGTTTCTTTCTCAGAGTCTCAGTTCCCTTCTGTATAAAATGAAGGGATGACCTTTGATGTCCCTAAGGATCTTCCCAGTTTTGATCTGTGACATTGGAGAGGACACTTACCTTTTAATAATTGGGTTAAGAGCATAAAATATGGAGCCAGACTGCCCGGGTTTATATCCTGGACCACCCCTTTCTTGGCTGTGTGACCTCATCTATAAAATAGGGATAGTAATAGTACTTGACTTATAGAATTGTTATAAGAATTAATTGTTTCAATTTATATGAAACACTTAGAATATTACTTGGCACATAGGAAGTGCTAATACATGTTGGCTACAGTTATTATTATAGGAACCCTCTCTAGGCTATCCTAGGAAATCAGGGTAGGGTATCTGGGATTCCAGGCTTTCACTTTTCCTTCTCCTCTGAAAAAAGACACCATATAATGGTTGCTTTTCTAAGCCTCTGAAAACATACCTTACCTCCTTTTGGGGAAGGCCACTTTCTGCCCCTCCAATGTATAGCACCCTGGGGCTGTTGTATCTGGGGCCTCAATCTGGAGCTCTTAGAAAACAGTTAATTTAGGATTTTGTCTTGCTTCTTCAACCTCTGCCTATCTTCCCAAGTGTGTTTTTCTACCTTCTGTCTGGCTTTTACCTTCTCTCAGCCAAGAGAGTCAGTGGTGAGGAATATAGGGAAATGAGGTGGCAACGAAGCAACTAGGGAAGAGAGGAGAATGAGACCTCTTTAATCTCTGATTGTGCTATCAGGATTTGTCTCCATGAAGGGTCTCTGTTTCTTTAGGATATCTATGTCTTATCCATGTCCCTGGCTCTTTCTTTTTCTAGTGATATATCTAATCAATTCAAACAAATGAATCAATGAATACTAACAAATTAAATGGTAGCCCCTGCAAAGTGATATTTGTATTTAAACTTAGGTCAAAATAATATAGAATGTTATGGTCAGAAGGGGCCTTAGAGATGACCTCATCTAATCCCCCCTTTTGTAGTATATTGAAGAAACTGAGGCCCAGAAAAGGAAAGGGACTTGTCCAAGATCATATAGCAGAAATAGGGCTAGAATCTAGGCAATCCAATACTTAGTTGTGGGCCCCTTCACTATATCAATTTGCCTCTTGGAGAATTTTTAGAAACATAGTTTCTTAACCAAAAGGAGTGATTCCAAGCATATTGGAATGTAGGTGGGTGAATGGAGATGTTTGGGCTAGAGAGGCCTTTTGGTTTCCCTCGAAATCCTTGTAGGCAGTTGTGCTCTGCCTTAAAATAGGGCCAGCCTTGCTGATGTTTCAGAGTTCCATGTCCTCAAATCTACTGCCATTGCTTGGTGGGGCCAGGAGGAGATGTCTTACAGCTTGATTTCCTGTGTCCAGGGCCTGAGAGGAACTTGTCACTCTAGAGTAGTACACAAGGTTCCCTGCATCTGCTTTGAGGTGCTTGGTCACATCATCCAAAGACAATGAAGGGATATGAATAGAATTGGTGGAAGAGTGAATTAGGGGTCACTGTCTGGTTTGCTCGGCACCCAGTCCATGGGAGTGGCAGGGCAATGAGAACAAAGCACAGCGTGAGCCCCTGGCCAGAAAAATAACCTAATAAATAGAGATTACACACCCCAGAGAGCACAGAGTTTCTGGCAGGATGTGGCAGTAGTCATTCTGAACAAACAAGATCTTAATTTATGTCTAAGCAGAGCAAGATTAGAAACCTACTTCACATTCCTCCTAGAATGTGTTTCCAGAAATTAGCCAAATGAATTTCATCCACGTGGAGATGAGGCAGAGAAGCCATGCACATAGGCTTCCAAATATAGTTCCCAAGCCACTGCCCTAACAGTGTCTGGTGCCAACTTGTCATGCCAGGCCAACGGTAGGAACAATCTTGTCTGAATCAACATCAGGATCCAGATGGCCTAGTTGGAGATTTGTATATCTGTGCCAAGAGCTGACTGAATCTATGATCTAGCTTTACCAGAAAATAATTTTTCCTGTCTTTTAAAAATTTATTTCTCAATTACAATTGACATACAATATTATATTAGTTTCAGGTGTACAACATAGTGATTAGACATTTGTATACTTTAAGAACTGATCAACTTAATATGTCTAATACCTATTTTATACCATACATAGTTATTAAAATGTTATTCATTATATTCTTTATGCTGTACTTTACATCCCCACGATCATTTTAATAACTGGAAATTTTTACTTTTTAATCCCTTTCGCCTTTTATACCTGTCCCTGCAACCCCTTCCCACCTGGCAACCATCAATTTGTTCTTTGTATCTATGAGTTTGTTTTTGTTTTGTTTGTTCACTTATTTTGTTTTTATAAATTCAACATGTGAGTGAAATCATATCATATTTGTCTTTCTCTGTATGACTTACTTCACTTAGCATGATACTCTTTTGGTGCATCCATGTTGTCGCAAAAGTTAAGATTGTATTCTTTTTAATGGCTGAGTGATCTTCCATTGTATATACATATATATGTGTATATATACATACACACATACCACATCTCCTCTATCCATTTATCTACTGATGGACACTTAGACTGCTTCCATATCTTGGTTATTGTAAATAATGCTGCATTGAACACAGGCATGCATATATCTTTTTGAATTAATCTTATGAATTTCTTCAAATAAATACCTGGAAATCTAATTACTGGGTCATATGATAATTCTATTTGTAATTTTTTGAGGAACCTCTATACAGTTTTCCATAGTAGCTGCACCAATTTGCAATCCCACCAACAGTGCATGAGGGTTCCCTTTTTACCCACATCCTCTTCAACATTTGTTCTTTGGTTTATTGATGATGGCCATTCTGACAGGTGTAAGGTGATATCTCATTGTGGTTTTAATTTGCATTTCTCTGATAATTAATGATATTGAGCATCTTTTCATATATCAGAATGTTGGCCATCTGTATGTCCTCTTTGGAGAAACACCTATTCAGGTCCTCTGACCATTTTTTCCCCCCCTTTTATTTCCCCCACCCCCACCTTCCACCCTGACCTACGGATGTTGCTGTCTCTCCTTAAGAACTGGATCTCTGAAGGCAGGGCATCTCCTCCCACGTGCTTGCGGCACGCACTCAGGGCCTGCGGCGCCCAGGGCCTGGCCCGTGGCTCCACCTGGGGCATGAACCCAGGACCTTCTGCGTCTAAAGTAGACATGTTAACCACTACACTATGGAGCCACTCCTCTCTGCCCATTTTTTAATTAGATAGTTTTTTTATGTTGAGTTGTATGAATTCTTTATACATTTTAGATATTAACCCCTTATCAGATGTATCATAGGCAAATATCTTCCCCCATTCAGTAGATTGTCTTTTCGTTTTACTGACGGTTTCCTTTGCTGTGCAAAAAGTTTTTCATTGATGTAGTCCCATTTGTTTATTTTTTCTTTTGTATCCTTTGCTTGAGAAGATATATCAGAAAAAATATCATTAAGAGCAATGTTATAGAGTATACTGCCTATGTTTTCTTTTAGGAGTTTTATGGTTCTGGGTCTTACATTTAAATCTTTAATCCATTTTGAGTTTATTCCTGTACATGGTATAAGAAAGTGAGCTAGTTTCCTTTTTCCCAAAGTATCTGCCCAGTTCATATGACGTGAGTCCTATATCATATCTCTTCATCACAGTCTAATTATCCATTTACCTGTCATCCCCACTAGATTAGATGGCTCTTGAGAAGATAGTGTCTTAATTATCTGTGTATCCTCAGTGTATAGCACACTGACACATTAGGTTTTCTAAATGAATGAAAGGGGCAGGCATGAATTTTGTAATTTTTAATTCAGCTAGCCCTTAACCTCAAGCATTATCTCTCTCATTGACTCATCTGTCTCTTTCAACAAGTCCATGAGGTTGGGTGGATGTTTGTGTGTATGCATCTTTTAAAGAACTTTTTTGCAGGTGGCTCTTCTGAAACTTTTTATCATGAGATAACCAAATTTGAGATTTCTCATTTTGCAAATGTAAAAATTGATATCCAGAGATGCTTCATAACTTGTCTCAGCACATGTAGCTAATTAATAGCAGAGTCTGAACCCTGATTTCTAGATTCTCATTCCAGGAATCTTCTTGCTCCATCTTCCACTGTTTCCAAATCATGGTCTTTCATCATTTGGATATATCATAGAAAGGTACTTAGGATGACTGGATTTCTATTACACTGTTTTTCTGCAGTTTTTTTTTTTAAATTAAAGTGAAATTCACATAACATAAAATTAACCATTTTAAAGTATGCATTTCAGTGATGTTTAATATATTTGCAATGTTATACAAACATCTCTTCCATCTAGTTCAAAATACTTTCATTATCCATTTAGCAGTAACTCCTCATTCATCCATCCCTTTAGCTCTTGACAACAACTAGATTGCTTTCTGTCTCTATGGATTTACTCATTCTAGATATTGAATGTAAGTGGAATCATATAATATTTTACCTTTTTTGCACATGGCTTCTTGTATTTAGCATAATGTTTTTGAGATTCATCCATGTTGTAGCATATACAGATACTTCATTTCTTTTTATGGATAAATAATATTCTGTTGTATGGGTACACCACATTTTGTTTATGCAGTCATTGTTGATGGACACATTTGAGATGTTTACAACTTTGCACTATTGTAAATAGTGCTACTACTAATATGCATGTACAAGTATTTGTTTGAATACTCATTTCAATTTGTTTTTTAAATTAAAATTATTGGGGTGACATTGGTTAATAAAATCAAATATTTCAAGTGTACAATTCAAAAATATGTCATATATATATTGCATGTGTGTTCACCACTCAAACTTAGATTTACTTCCATCACCAAATATTTGACTCCTTTTACTCCTATCTACCTACCCTCTCCCCATTCCCTCTGGTAACCACTAAGCCACTGTCTGTGTCCATGGGTGTTTGTGATGTTTGTATGAGTGAAATCATATGGTTCTTAACTTTTTCTGTGTGACTTATTTTGCTTAGCATGATTGTCTCAAGAACCATCCATATTGTCACAAAAGGCAGTATTTAATCTTTTCTTATGGCTGAGTAATATTCCATTGTATGAATGTACTGCATCTTCTTTATCCAATCATCTATCATAAGACACTGGTTGCTTCCATGTCCTGGTCACCATAAATAAGGCTGCTATGAATATCGGGGTCATATATCTTTGCAGATAAATGTTTTCAGGGCTTTTGGGTAAATACAAAAGAGGAATTGTTGGGACACATGGTAATTCTATTCTTAGTTTTTTGAGGAACCTCCATACTGTTTTCCATAGTGGCTGTAATATTTGCAGTCCCACTAGTAGCGTATGATGGTTTCTTTTTCCTTACAACCTCTCCAACACTTGTTATTACTTGTCCTGTTGATGATAGCCACTATCACAGGTGTGAGGTGGTATCTCATTGTGATTTTGATTTGCATTTCCCTTTTGGCCTGTGAAGTTGAGCATCTTTTCATATATCTGTTTGCCATTTGTATGTCTTCTTGGAAAAGTTTCTTTTCAAGTCTTCTGCTCATTTTTTTAATTGGATTGTTTTTTCTCATTGAGTCGTATGAGTTATTTATATATTTTGGATATTAGCCCCTTATTGGAGGTATCATTGCAAATATCTTCGGCCATTCAGTTGGTCATCTTTTTGTTTTACCGATGGTTTCTTTTGCTGTGTGGAAAAGTCCTTTAGCTTGGACAGTCCCATTTATGTATTTTTGTTTTTACTTCTTTCACCTTTGGGGTCAAGTTTATGAAATTATCTCTGAGTCTAAGGTCCATAAATTTAGTATTTAGGTTTTTTCTTATGTATTTTATTTTATTTTTTAATATTAAAAATATTCATTACAGTTGGCATACAAAATTATATTAGTTTCAGGTGTACAACATAGTGATTAGACATTTAAATAACTTATAAAGTGATCACCCCGATAAATCTAGTACTTATCTGACACCATACATAGTTATTACAATATTATTGACTACATTCCTTGTGCTATACTTTATATCACCATGACTATTTTGTAACTACCAATTCGTATTTCAGAATTTTCTTGTTTCTTTAGGTAGGTGTGTAATGATGTAAACTTCTCTTTTATTACCCCTTTTGCTGTATTTCAAAAAAATCGGTATGTAGTATTGTCACTCTCATTTGTCTATAAGTATCTTTCGATTTTGTCTTTTTTTCTTATTTTGACCCACTTGTTATTTAGTGGCATGTTATTTAATCTCCACGGGTTTTAGTTTTTTTTTCCCATTTCCTTTTTTGCTCGATTTCCAATTTCAAAGCATTGTGGTTGGAGAATATGCTTGGTACAATTTCAATATTCTTAATTTTTGTTGAAGCTAGTTTTGTGTCCCAACATATGGTCTACCATTGAGAATGTTTCATGTGCACTTAGACAAGGATGTATGTATATTCTGCAAGTTTCAATTATGTTCATTTGGTCGAATGTGTCATTTAATGTCAATTTCCTTACTGATTTTCCTTACTGATTTTCTGTTCAAATGATCTATGCATAGCTGTCAATGGGATATTTGGGTCCCCTACTATAATTGTGTTTTTGTCAGTTTCTCTATTTAGTTCTTTTAGTAGTTGCTTTATAAATTTTGGTGCTCCCAGGTTGGGTACAAATATGTTAATAAGTGTTATATCTTCTTGATATATTGTCTCCTTTATCATTATAAAATGTACATTTTTGTATCTTGTTATCATTTTTATATTGAAATCTATTTTGTCAGCTGTAAGTACAGCTATACCTGTTTTTTTGAGTATCATTTTTCATTCCTTCATTTGAGTCTTTTTGTCCTTGCAGATGAGATGTGTCTCCTGAAGACACCATATAGTTAGATTTTGCTATTTGATCCATCCCACTACTCTGTGCCTTTTAATTGTTGTGTTCAATCTATTTACATTTAGCATGATTATGGATATATGAGAATTTCCTATAGCCATCTTAGCTTATATTTTCTTGTAGATCTGTGTCTCCATTGTTTCTTTTCCCTTGTGTTTCTGTCTGTTATCTTAGTTTGGTGGTATCTAATGATTTTTCTCTCAGTTTCTTCTTTTTTATGTTATGTGTCTCAATTTTAGATTTTTCGTGGTTACTATTAGGTTTATGCAAAAGAAAGTTTCATACATATTGTAGTCCTGTGTCTTCTGATTGCATATTATCTCCATTCACCTGTGTGAGTTCAATCCTTCTCCCTCCCCTTTTATGTTTTTGTTGTCACAAATTATTTCTTTTTATGCTATGAATTCATTTACAAATTGCAGTAGCAATTCTTTTTCTTTTTTTAAACTGTGTTTTTGTTTTATTTGTTTAATATCTCTTTCTGAACAAGCATCACAATTTTTTGCTTCTGTCTGTCTGTTACATTACTCATAGTTTTGTATTCCTTTGTCTTTTTGTTCCAGGTAGAAGAGCACCCTTATGTATTTCTTGTAATGCTGATCTTGTGGTGGTAAATTCCCTTAGCTTCTGTATGTCTAAGAAAGCCTTTATTTCTCCCTCATATCTAAAGGATAACTTTGCTGGATATATTATCCTTGGATGGTGATTTTCCTCTTTCAGCAATTTGATATTTGTTTTCACTCTCTCCTAGCTTGTAGGGTTTCTGATAAAAAAAATCCAATCGTAATCTAATGAATTTTTAAAAATAGATTACTATCTTCTTTTTCCTGGTTGCCTTGAGAATTCTTTCTTTGTTGTTAGCTTTTGGAAGTTCAATATAATGTGCCTTGGAGAAGGCCTTTTTGGATTGAGCTAATTAGGTGTTTGGTTAGCGTCTTGTATTTGAGTATTCAGTTCTTTCCATAGGTTTGGGAAGTTCTCATTGATTATTTGTTTGAATACACTCTCTGTTCCCTTCTCCTACTCTTTTCCTTCTGGCATGTCTATTATTCTTATGTTACTCTTTCTAATGAAGACAGATAGTTCTTGTAAGTTCTTTTATTTATTTATCTATCTATCTATCTATCTATCTATCTATCTATCTATCTATCTATCCATTCATTCATTCATTCATTCATTCATTTATTTATTTTGTTCTTGATTCTTTTCTCCTACCTGAGTCATTTCTAGATTTCTATCTTCTATGTCACTAATTCCTTTCTCCATCTGGCCTGCTCTATTTTGTAAGCTCTCTAGTTCATTCTTCATCTCATTTATTGAGTTTTTCAGCTCCAGAATTTTTGTTT